GTCCAATCCTGCCTGAGAAAGCTACACCTTCAAGCATAAAAGACCAGGAAAACAGCACACTCACTGGACAGGAACAACTTGACCAAGTGCTAAGCATGTTGGGGGTCAACTTGGACCCATCACCAGAGAAAGTCATAGGCAACTGCAGGAACATCTGTAACATATCCAACCCAGATGATGAAATGGTAAAAACCAGGAACAAAGTGTTAAGATCCACATATGAGTTTCTTAGTGCAGACAAAAGAGATTTCCGTCACCTGCTCCATGGAGTGGCTTTTGTCATGGTTGAAGATGGCTGGAAATTGCTGAAACCTGAGGAAGTGGTCATCAATTTAGACAATGAATCTGACTTCAAGCCCTACTTGTACAAGTTACCCCTAGAACTTGGCACCTTTCATCAACTTTTCAAACATCTTGGCACCGAGGACGTTGTGTCGACCAAACAATATGTTGAGGTGCTGTGGAAAATTTACAGGAGTTCAGAGGGAAAGCAGCTTGATCCAAATGAAATGAGAACTGTGAAAAGGGTTGTCTCAGGATTGTTCAAGTCTCTTCACAATGACCCAGTGGAAATTCGCAAAGATCTTGACAGCCTCAGAGATTTGATCTTTTATTTGCCAAGTCATGATGGGAGGCTAGCAAAATCCAATACCCTTGTATTTGATGATGCTCCACACTACAAGAGCAGAATTCAGGGTAATATTGGAGTTCAGATGCTTGTTGACATGAGCCAGTGTTATCTTGGCAAAGACCATGCTTTCCACACGAAACTTATCATGCTGTTGCCACAGAAACTAAGACCCAGATTGTTGAGCAGCATTCTGGAGGAGCAGCTTGATGAAGATTCTCCAAAAATGTGTCAGTTTGGAGCTCTTTGTTCCCTACAAGGCCGCCTTCAACTGCTCCTGTCATCGGAGCAGTTCATCACAGGTTTGATCAGAATAATGAAACATGAGAATGATAATGCATATCTCGTGAATGAAGAAAAGGCCATACGTTTGTGCAAAGCACTTTGTGAGGGTCTCAAAGTGTCATGTTTTGAGAAACTCCAAACGACTTTAAGAGTGAAAGGATCCAGCCCCATCCCACACAGTCGCAGTGAAACACTTGCTTTCCTAAAGAGATACGGGACAGCTGTGATTCACCTCTATATCCAGCATTCAGACAGCAAAGACATTAACTTTCTACTGGCACTAGCTATGACACTGAAGTCTGCTACAGACAATTTGATTTCAGACACATCCTATTTGATCGCCATGTTGGGCTGCAACGACATCTACAGAATCACAGAGAAACTGGACAACCTTGGCGTCAAGTATGACTCAACAGAACCTTCTAAACTTGAGCTACCACTCCCTGGAACCCCAATACCAGCCGAGATACACCACACACTACTTATGGATCCAATGAATGTATTCTATCCAGGAGAATATGTGGGCTACCTTGTAGACTCAGAAGGAGGAGATATATATGGGTCCTATCAGCCCACTTATACATATGCCATCATTGTTCAAGAAGTAGAGAGAGAAGAGGAGGGAAACACAAATTTTCTTGGAAAATGCTTCCAGATTGACATTGGTTACAGTGAATACAAAATAGTAAGTTCCCTCGACTTGTACAAATTTTCAAGACAAGAAGAAAGCACCCATGTCCAAGACAGTATTGCCCCATCAACTCCTACAAGCCCAGAACATCGATCCTCTGGCCTACGAATGATCCCTCCACTCTTTTCGGGGAAAGAAAATCTCCTACCACCTCCACAGAGGCAGTCTCCAAAAAAGATAAAACTTCACGCATTGCCTGAAATTCTGAAAGAAGTGACCTTAGTAGTTGAACAAGCTTGGAAGCTTCCTGAGACGGAGAGAAAGAAGATCATTCGCCGACTGTATCTCAAATGGCATCCAGACAAAAATGCAGAGAATCTGGACATTGCCACAGAAGTGTTCAAGCACTTACAGAATGAGATCAATAGGATGGAGAAACAGGCGTTAGCTGATCAGCAAAACACAGAGAGGGCTTCCAGGAGATCCTTCTCTACATCATCAACTCGTTTCCAGTCAGAGAAGTTCTCTTTTCAAAGGTTTTACTCATCATGGAACCAAGAAGCAACTAGCCACAAGTCAGAAAGGCAACAGTTCAGGGAACAATACACAAGCTATGCAGGCTCATCTCATTCACACCGCTTCTTTGTACCCCCAACCTTTAAGACTGTCGGAAACCCTGTAGAGGCCCGCAGATGGCTGAGGCAAGCCAGAGCAAACTACTCCTCCGCTCGCAACGATCTTCACAAAAATGCTAATGAGTGGGTCTGTTTCAAATGCTACCTGGCCACAAAGCTTGCACTGATAGCAGCTGACTATGCAGTCAGAGGGAAGTCTGACAAAGATGTAAAGCCAACTGCTCTCGCTCAAAAAGTGGAGGAGTACAGCTCCCAATTAAAAGGCCTAACCAGTGACGTTCAGATCTTGGAGGGATACGGTGTAGACAGCCTGAGGACCCGGTACCCCGACCTGTTGCCATTTCCACAGATTCCCAACGACAGGTACACATCTGAAGTGGCAATGAGAGTGATGGAGTGTACTGCACGGATCATCATAAAGCTTGAAACATTTGTGCAGCAAAAAGTATGACACTTTTGAACAGGTTTATATGTAAAACCTCGTAAAAAAAATCTGTGGCTGTGTGCAATACAAATCACAAACAATACGCTGGCAGCTATGCAGTTTTTCTCTGTGATTGTGGGGCAGTGGCCCATGCACAGTAAATAAATGTRTGGCTCCCATAACCTGCTAGGCTGCATATCTGCATACTGCTGTACATACACATGCCTCAGCAATACGTTTTGTTTACCAAAGTCCTCACACTGACTATATTTACTCTGACTAAGATTTAAAAATATGCTGCTTTTTTACTTTATCTTTTATATAAAAAAATAAAATTAATATATTTTCTTGCTACAGAAAACCAGTCAAGTGTACCTAAAAGATGTGCTTAGTATAAAATATGGTCACCCTGGTAATTTTGGTAAATTACCCTCCATATGTATCCTGTTTTCAAAAAGCTCACAAAGTCGAGAAAATACAATCATGTTTGTAAATTGTCTTTTTTGTACTTTTCAGGTTGTTTTCATGTCATTTCTGTAAATGTTGTCCATTTCCTGTAATATAGCCAATCACTTGTTTATGAGAGAGCACTTTTTGCATTTGCACTCATGTAGCGCTAATCTTTTCAGCAACTAGGGAGAATCTAACTGTGAATAGAAACACTTTTTAATAATTTAAATATGTTTTTTTTGTATGTGTGTGTGTGTGTGTGTGTGTGTGCATCGACCGTTCATATAAACTACATGTACCTGCATTGCCAAGTGTCTGACCTTGGGAAGGTAAACTATGGAAACACTATTGTTCAAATTACTGTTCATTATTAGGATATTGTGTCAAAGAGCCATATATTGTAGATGTTATAATGTGGGCACAATCACAACTTGTAGCCAGCCAGCTTGAAATCATGTCCATCCATTTGCTGTGATGTGATCTTTTCTGGTTTAAGGAACATTTGACAGCACCTGACTGTAACTTTAATTTGAAGGACTACACGCACAATGACCACATCATGTACATGTCATTTACAAAAAAATATATAATTTAAAATGTGCTTCTTTGCATCTCTTGTCTTATTTCATCTGAAGCTTGAGGTAACAGTGGGTTTTGTTTTGAACCCGCAATATTCAAACAGCAGAAAATCCTAACAAATCTCTTGATGGGCAGTTTGTAGTTTCAGACTGATAATATTAGATATCATTTTAAAATACTGTTTGATTATTTTATGATTTAAACCAGGGGTTCCCAAACGTTTTCATGCTTTGGCACCCCAAACAGAATTAGCTTTAGCCCAGGAACCCCATTTGCAAACTCAAATGCGTCATTTCTGTTTGGGATCAATAAAGTATTTTTGAATTGAATCGAAACCCACAAACAATGCTACAAAATATGTAAAGAATCACCAACATTTCGAATGTTTTTTCTCACTTTTATTCACTATTCAATAATTTTTGATTAGCATAAGACTTGTTTTACCCAACATGTTTTAAACACATATTCCCACCGAACAAACAACTTTTTAACAAACTGTTGATAAGAACAAAAGAAATCAAACTCATCTTAAGCTTTCATAACATTTAATATATTTTTAGTAAATTATATTTTAAAATAATTATTGAAAAACAGGTTTGATTTTTTTTTTGATAAGGATTTCAATTATTTTATTTTTGCATGTTTCTCATCATCCCTCCAGCTTTTTGATGCCCCCATCTAAGCGCCTCCTGAAAAACACTAATTTAAACAATTTGGAAAWGATGGAACTTATTTCCTCAAAAAACAAACAAAAAATGTTCACAATCCAACATTGCCTTGAAGGAATGCATATAATTTTAACAAAAGAGATCCCACAATCTGTTTTCTCTAAGAGTGTGTTAGGGATGAATATCAGCTACTTCCACATGATATTTTAGCACAATATATGTAAAACTGAGTTCAGTCATTTATATTTGCTAAAGCCAATCAGTACTTGTAATTTCCTTGATTTGGGTATTCAGTTGTAGAAGTGCATCCATTGCTTACTGAGAGATGTGTACAGTGATTCATTGGATACTTTGCTCGCAGATCCAGACAAAATCATCACTACTGACTTCAGCAGCAAGTGATAAATCAAGTTAATGTCAGACCAGGCAAGCTAACAAGTCATGTGGATGTATCATAGGATAAACAATAATCTAACAAATAAAAAAAAAAACAGTTTTCTGCAGCTGCAGAGTTTCTCCACTAGAAGGCATCAGTGATTAAAGTCATCAAAAATGCACAGCAGAAAATATTACTCAGTAGATCTTACCAGACTTAGTGTGGTAGTGAATAGGAGGTAAAACAACTGTTTCAGTGCATATTTGTGAAGTTTAGTAAGAAACCAATAAATTCCTCTTCAGAAAATGTAGTTTTGCACTGAGAGTCATTAGAATAACAAAGTTTATTAAACATACAAAATAAATACACATCACATCCATTTTCTGATAAAAGAGAACACATTCAAAGTAAATCTGGCAACAACAACAAAAAAAAGAACAATGACAAAAGCATCTTCAATCCATTTAGAATAGTCTTTTGTCGTTTTTGGATGTTCTTGTAGTCAAAGTTATGGTTTGTCTTTACACTGGCTTCATATGAAGTTATTGGAAAAACAGATTAGCTTACTTACAAAAAAAAAACAACAGTTAAAATCTGTTGTGGCTGTGTAATTACTCACAAAAAGAACTAAAAACAAACAAAATCCACCCCAGGCCAAACATACACTGGTTCATTACTGGTAGGAAGACACACGTGATACAAAACTAGTAATATCACCAAGATTTTTATCTCAAACTTGTAAAACAATCAAAGCAAAACAAAACTGAAATTTAACCCTAAAGCTTGTATCTCACTGGACTGCAACTGGCGAGAAATATTCACAAAGAAGTCTCCAAGATCTCTTGAAACAGAGTTTCTCAACTTCCTTGAATGCAGAGTCTCTCTAGTGCGACAGAAATTTTGGACTCCTACGCAGCGAAACACGTGGTTTGAGTGAAAATGTATTTTATGTGTGTTTACACCATTCACACATGTATTTAATAGAACCTGAATGCAATCTGATGGCTAAGGATAGGTTTTATTGTTGGGGTGATGGACACATTGGGTCACAGCAGCAAGAAGACCTGCAGCAGCTTTTAGCATGTCAGCCAGGTGTGGGTCTCCATCAAGCTTTTAGCTACAGAGGTTTAATCATCCTGCTTCATTTTAGTGAGGCCCCATTTCCATGTAACAACAACTTAAATTACTAAATTTTTAGTAATTTGTGTGTGTGGTTTAATTAAACCAAGYAAATACTTAGATGTGCGAGGGATGTAAGCACTGTCATTGGTCGATTTTTTTCCCTTCTTTTGGCCTTCATAAATAAAAGCTACGATTTAACTGGTCAATGCCGTTGATGACTGAAATGAACAAATGACCTGAGGGTGTTCCAAAATCCTTGCTAAAAGCCTGGTCCTCATCTCGCTGTGGGTCTCCAGCTAATAGTTTCTGCACTTCCAACTGTTAAGAGGAAGTTTTGTTGTTGTTGTTGTTAGTTATTTTTGCAAGCATGTATGTCATTTAACAATGGCTTGATAATTACTCAGTGACTTGAGGCCAGACATTTGTGCAACTTTTTTTTTGCGAAAACCACAAACATGTCAAATCAGTGTAATTAAGTGAAAATTTGCACATCTTCTTCTATGTTTGTCTCCCAACTAATTTAGCTGCCAACAGTAGCAGCCAAATGAGATACTGAATTAAAGCTGTGTTTGAATTTGACTTAGTAAAAATTGGAATCGTCTACAACAAAAACAAAGCAGGGTAGCATTTCCCCAAACCCCCTTATTTAAATAAAGACATGCTGAACACCAAATCAATCAGGAAAAAAAATAAAAGCATCACATACCAAGGGCTTGGAGTCACGGAGGAGGATTTGCATAAACTAAACTAAATACATCTAAAAAATGTTTTTCCCTTTCAAGTTTTTCTTTTTTTCCAGTTTTCCAAGTCCTTCATATGTGTTCCCTTCATTTATTGCACCACAAGATAATATTGCATAGGATGTAAGCTGTTACCAGCTCCTCATTGCCCAGCCACGTGTAAAAAAAAATAAAAATACAACTTAGAGCCAATTTTGATTTAAACAACTAGTTACATTTGTCCAAACGCAACAAAGGCATTGAAGTATCTCAGGGCATCTGTGACATACATGCCAGCAGGCAGTTGTGTTATCACCAGCCTCAGGGTGCTGGTGGGATCGCTGCAGATCTATTGTGGTATAAAGATGTCAGAAAAAGACAAACTGGGGCTCCGTATAAACACTTGTGCTTGTTGCCTCCCAGAAGATGCTTCCTCGGAGAGACGGAAAGTCGACGASCCCGTCAGAGTCTCAGCAGTCCTGATTATCGCTGCAAGTGGAAGTTCTTCCGGCCTTCGATAGGAAGAGTTTCCCGCTGGGGCAGACGCAGACCTCATAGAGACCCTGAGAGTTTCCAGAGACCCCCTCCTTGCTCAGGGGCAGGCTCGGCATTCGCACGGTCTCAGCATCCAAAACCAGCTGCACAACRAGGACAGTGGATGAAATATGAAATATAAGAAGAATGGAGATATGGAGCAGGATTGCATGTAGTTAATAAGAAGAGGATGTACAGTTTATGGCTTACTAATCATATCCAAGGACATAACTTTATGTCTACCATTGGGGGGAGTTATGCTMTAAAACCCTGCAGGTCATTTTCAGCACTTATGCTTTAATATATGACAACATACATTTTTAAATCAGGTCAAAGTAAAGACAACAAGAGAGATGCATCTGTGTACTCAACCAGTTAATTTCTATTGTGTTTGAGCAAATGATGTCATTTTATTGTGGGGGTCATATTCACTGGATCAAATGATTGTGGGGGTCATACGCCTGTGATCATTTACAGAGGGTTGCAGAAATAGTCACCCCACCTTCTCTTACATCACGGATCTTGATACATTTTTAATTGATTATAAGTAATTAAAAAAGTTAAAACCTTCCTGTTTCTCTTGGTTCAAAATGACCAATGAGGGTTTCAAACAGGGAAAATATTCTGAAGTAATTCTAAAAAGGTCAGAACTGAAAAGCGGTGGATGTTTATGTATCTGTTCTCTTTGTTTGGAAGYGCCAACTGTTACCTTCAAAAGCCACATAAAAATCCCATTGAGATCACAGATCTGTTTTTCAAGGGAGGCCTGGACCTGAAAGCAGCCTAGCCTGCATGTTTTTTAAAAATAAGATCCACCTGCAGGCGATATAAATGCTGAATAATTTATGTATTTATAGATACAGATTTGTGGACAAATAACAGTGTATATCCGAGTTTACTTCCTAATTTAGAACTAATTTTTAAAGCAAAAAAAATATCCAAGTTTAAAATCCCAAACTACAGCTGCCATGTGGCGTATCTAAGATATTTTAGAGCCACATGYTCAACAAATGAAAAGCACTTGTGTGAAACTGCACTACACAGTCCCAGGTGTGACCACAGGAGGCCATAGAAGCATCAAGCAACATGTTTTCTGAGAGAAGCCCACTGGATAAGCTCCCTGAGTGACCTGAAGGAGGAGCAGACTTGGAGAAGTGCTGTGGTGCTCTTACCAGCCCCTCCCTGGACTGCAGGAGAACRTCCATGTTGGAAGCAGCCTCAATGTTTCCAGCCAGAGCTTTGAGGTGAACGCCTTTAGGTGCATCCAAACTCACCGAGCGGGTCGGGCACTCCAGCCTACAAATAAACACATCTTTGTTTCAGAAACCCATCGAGCTGATTCACAAAATGGTATACGTGCCAGTATTTAATTGGGCAAAAGKGAGGTAAAGGCCTAATATTTTCCATTCATCAGAAGCTAATGTGTGGGTGTGTTTACTGGAGGAGTGTTCAGAGTTTCCTAATCATTGCATACACATAAATCATAAAAAAAACATTATTCAGTGATAAACATGGAGTGCTCACTTCAGGTCTTTGAAGAGTTCTGATTTCAGCAGAGGAACCTCCACGGAGTGCTGGAACAGAGCTCCTTCAGGACCTGATGGGCAAACAAACACAAACGCACACGGCTGAATAAAATACCACTTTCACCAAAATCAGAGGAGAAAAGACTGATCTTTAGCTACTTTCCCTGGAAGTTACTGGAATTTAATGTCATAAATTTGGCTCAAGTTGTAAACCGTTCATGTTATTAATCTTTACAACCTAAGGAGAGAGAGTGATAATGTTTTTGCCTGTCTGCGTGTGATCATTTGTTTGTCTGTTAGCGAAATAGTTTGTGAGCCACTGGATGGATTTGAATAAAAATCTCAGACAGTAATCACTAGATGTGGACTGGACTTTACTTAAAAACACACACAAAAATACTATAAACTCTGTTCATTTTAAAGTTGCTGAGCTAAAATGTGATAGCTGACAGACATTTTGAACTTGCTTAAAATATGTTTATTAAACTTTGATAACCAGATTTGGACACATTTAAATAAAACTATCAGAAAATAATCATTATATATTTATGACAGATTAGCTTTGGAAAAAGATGGCTGCCACAGCTAATAGACGTTAGCAAACTGAGTTTTACAAATACTGGGCTAAATCTGGATGTGGTAGCTGAGTGAGAGAGATCTCACACTTACTTCTAACACATTTCTCAAGATCTCACGAGACTGAGAACATTATTTAGAACAGGTGTGCCCAATCCTGGTCCTGGAGAGCCATCCTCTTTTACTTGTGCTTACTGTTCCAGCACAGCTTTGATTCAAATCAGGTGTGTTGCAGCAGAGAAACTTATAAAACATGCAGGACAGTGAGGACCAGGACTGGACATTCCAGATTTTTACAAGATTTGACATAAATGGGAATAACTCTGGACCTCATCATAAATCATGAAGTGTAAAACTCTCTTTTATTTTTTCATGCATGAGTAAATACACATAAAAAAATTAAGAAAATTCCTTTAAACCGCAGAAGATAAATCACACAATGCTCCAGAAAAAGACAGGAAGAATTCAGTTCGAGGGAGGTGCTACACTTTACCGAAGCTCAGGAGAAAATAAAAGCCATCTGTAAAGAAACTGAAAAAAAGTCTGGGATTCACCACTGGTCTAAACTGGAAGCTACAACAACATCAAGTTCACTCTCCACGGTTCAGCGAGCTTTATGATGCCATGCCCCGGGAGGCTGCAGCTCAATAAAGAAACCCCTGTTCCATAATCAAAACCTTTGAACTGAACGCTTGCAGCTGATTTAAATGACAGGTTGGATGGAAAAGCAAAGGAGGAAAACTTGTTTTGAATTCTGTCGACGACTCTGAAATACAAGTCGGACACAACTGGGTGTTCTGACCCGAAACACTGGCCTCAAACACGGATCAAAGTTAGTCTGTGACTGCATAAAACAGAACAGCACTGAGGCTGTGAGATGGCCCTGCTGAATCCTGCTCCTTAACATCCTTATAAATGAAAAACAGCATTTCTTGCAGCTCCTGTTCACTTCAAGTCAGCTGCCAGCGTTCTGTCTTTGTCCCGGCTCCTTCAGCCAACAGGTGTGTGTCGTGTGTGAGGAAACTGTCTGCTGCAGCCCTTCTGAGTACCCGTGACTCGTAGTTTGTCCGGTCCGATCGCAGCCTGCTCGCCATCTGCGCTGAACAGCATGTGTTCGTTGGGGGCGGCGATGAGCAGGTTTGGCGCGTGTCCCTGAGCCTCCCTTGGACCTGCAACAACAACACAAATACCCGGAAGGGTTTGGCAATGACACACAGATGAAAATAGGTTCTCATGAGAATCTATCATCTTCCTCTCATTTTGAGTCATTTTAAATGTCAGACTTTTTCACGTTTTACAGGGATAGTTTAGTCATTTTTGAGTTAATGTTCTGTCAAGTAAATAGTACTGTACCTCATCAAACATAGAACAGGAGAAAAGGGCAGAAGTTCCCCTCCAGGCTAGGCTAAGGAGGACATGTTTTATGTTGTTTTTCAGGCTTACGAAACAATTAATTTGTAAAATGTCATAAGCTAATGTTAAACCTCTACACTTTTGCATGACAATATTTCTTATTTTGTTTTTTGCCTGTTTCTCTAACTAGCCAAACGTTCACTCAGATGGTTTCAGTGGAATCAGAACCATCGGAATAAACACGACCCATGCTCAACACACATTCGTTCATGTAGTAGGCCTTGATAAGAAAATAGGAAATAAAAACAAACGTGTAAAGGTTTATTATTATGGTGGTTAATATAACATTCTTTCACACCATCAACATTTTTACGAAAGAGTTTTATACAGAAGCGTAGAGCTGTATCTGTAAATACGAGAAAACTACCTTGTAAAAACAAGAAAACCATCTCGTTATGCTATGTTATGGTTTGAATTAGGGCTGCCACGATTAATCGACGACTAATCAATTATTAAAATAATCGATGACTAATTTAATAATCGATTAATCGTTTCCCTTTTTTTGTTCTTTACTTTGTTTTTCTCTCCAAACTGCTTTGACACCTTCCACTGCCACATCTGCCTTTCTGTCCTTGACACACATGCACAGTAGTGGTAACATACTCATTGTCAAAGTCTTGGTCATAATAAAGGTGATGGTTATTATTATTAGTATTTAAAATCGAAAAGAACCCGTTTCCTCGTATATTAACTATATTAATATTAGTCGATATTAATTAGGTTAAATATGAGAAGTTATGTTGGAGTATCTTCTACACTGGTGTAGGCCGTGGACGTCACAAGACATTATCCGCCTCTAACAAGATACAGCTCAACGATAATTTTGTGTCTTGAGACAGCTCTACACGTCAGGAGTTTGTCTAAAATGCTATTTAAAACAGGCCATTCTTTGGCTAACCGTTAGCCTAGCCTGGATGAAGACTTCTGCACTCTCCTCCATACCCTCTGATCTGTAACTGATGTCATGGCTGATAAAATACTAACTACTGATTACTATTTAACAGGACATCACTTCAAAATTGTCCAAACTGTCCCTTTTTAAAGCGTTTTTCTGGTATGAAAGCACACGTTTAGTGTTTAAACCACACGGGAAACGAGAAAGTTGACACTGAAAGGCTTCTCATGTCAGGCGGCTCACTTTGCCCTTCACAACATCTGCCTCCTCAGCCCTTTGAGACACAGACGAGCTGCAGGTGGAGCCCTCTGTGAGTTATTTAACCCACTTCTCTGCCTACAACTGTGAACCAACACACCATCTTCCCAAACAAGCGTTTCAGTTTTATGCTCTGAGGCCCCAAATATGGCTTAATGATCAAGGACACATAATGGCGATGTGGAACATAGTAATTAGCCGGGTCATTTGGTGGCCTTTGAATCATGACAAAACATCCCATTGTGACCATTGGAGAGCTATAAAAGATGTACAAATATGACCCTCCRCAGGCCTCGAGCCCCCGTGTGCCAGACGGAACGATCCAGAAGCTGCAGCAGAGAGAGGAACTCTGCGTTTAATGGCTTTTAAATGGAAATCTGAGATTGTAAATTGACAGATGGCTTCTYRTCTYTGTTAATGTCGGACGAGAAGCCCCTGCAGGACAGGTCCACGAATGTCTTTACTATTACCCTCATACATCACATAGATGTGAGGCCTGTGTGTGCGCTGTATGTCTGTGAGGACACGTCTCCTTACCCACAGATATCCGGCCCGTGACGTCACCGTTTTCATCGCGGGCGTTGAGGGAAACGTTTTCTGAGGAGCGCATAATGAGTGGCAGCTCCTGGATGGAGAGAAAAAAATCAGGATTGTCATGAATCTTGTGTAAATGAGGCTGATATAGGCAAGAGAACAAAACACACGAAGAAGGAAAGTTCATCCGAGCAGAAGTTAAAGGGATACTCCAGATCATTTTGAAGTGAGGCTCTGTGTAAAAAAAATAAAATAAAATAAACAGGTAATATCTTACCTGTTGCAGATGAACATTGTTTGAGATTAGAGCTGTTTCAGTTTTTAGTCTGGGCTCTTATGGGATAAATCTTGTGCCAGCAGGAATTGAATTTGAATTGCTCAGATTGAATCTGAATGTGCATAATTTGAAATTGAATGCAWTGGTTTGAAAATAAATTTCACGAAATTGAAACTAAATTTAATGATTTGAAACTGAATTTAATAATTTGTTTCAGAATTAATTTGCTTTGAAACTSTATTTTGGTTTATTAAAAATTCAGTTTGACTACTTTCACTTTTTATTATACAATTTTATTGCAGTGATTACTTTTAGAAAATGTTACATTTTACATCCCATCAATGATCAGTCAGCAGCAGCATCTGATCAATATGTGATCCATGATGTGATGTAAATGTAACATTTTCTACATATAGGGTAAAGTTAATCACTGAAATAAAATAACTTTGTTTTTGTCACTTTTACGGTGGATTGCATCAACTCTGTTACATTACAGAAGGGAAACTTCACCAAAGTGAAACATWAATCTGTGGATCTGTGTTTGATTATTCTGGCTGACTTTCTCAAGGACCAGGATGTGTGACACTAAAATATGAATTTTGGAAGTGAAATTGAAAGTAGTCAAACTGAATTTTTAATCAACCAAAATACAGTTTCAAAGCAAAAATTCAAAAATTCAAAACTTTAAGGTCAGTTTCAAATCATTAAATACAGTTTCAATTTAGTAAAATTCATTTTCATACCATTGCATTCAGTTTCAAATGATGCACATTCAGATTCAATCYGAGCAATTCAAATTCAGTTCCTGCTGGCACAAGATTTATCCCATACRCTCTGTTCTGACTAGCTTTAGCTCACTGCTCTGTTAGATGAGGCTGTAATCTGAAACAACTCTCAGGTGAACTTTGTTTTGTTGAACCCATAAAAACACCTATTTGTGGATGTCACAAATAAAAAATGTGTTTGCCGTTTCAATATTTCATCAAATCTAACACTTACTTGATGTACACTTATCAAACAGCAATTGTTTTATTTCTGGAGATTAAATGTTTAAATGTTTAAAAACTCAAAATCAATTTGTTATTTTAATGACCTGTCACCATGAAAGGTGGGCAATCAGACAACAGGCTGTGTGTTAGCTTGTCCGTCTGTTAGCAAAAAATCTCACGAACCACTGGATTGATTTGAACGAAACCATCAGAATGCAATCACTAAGTGTGGCTCTACAACTGATTCTCATTACAAGATCTATTCACACATTATCTTAACCTCCTTCTTCCTTTCAGGGTCATGGGGGGTCAGTGGTGCCCATATCCAGCAGTCACTGTGTGACGGGGCGGGGGGGCGCAGCTGATCAATCTTAGTGAACACAAACTACATTATAACCAGTCAGTTTGAGTGATACTGAACTACAATTTGGTGTGGCAGCTGAGAGTCGGACCAAACCGATACCAACAAACGTGCACCATATTTTTTTGTTGTTTTACTAAATTAAAAACAAAAATTTCTCCCTTTTTTTGTTGAAAACTTTGGAAAACAAGGTGGAAAACTATTTTTATTCATTTTCAATTTGCAAATAAACCTCAATCTTTTTATTGGGTGAACTCTCTTTAAATCTTTTAATAAATACACCAAATACACTTGTAMTGTAGATCTCATTTCAGCTGGGGAGAATAAAACAACTGTTTTCTTTTAGTTCATTRAGAAGTTTTATCTGAAAATTGATATAATTTATAGCTGCAAACTTGGATTTCTAACTAACATATTTTTTATATCCAGACATGGTAAAATAATAAATCAAAATATCAGGAAATCACCCTAATTTTAAATTAATATTTRATAAAACCAGATTTGTCTCAGCAGACAGAAAACATTGGCTTTTATAATACATTGAAATGAGTCAACGCACTATTAAATCACATTATTTCCAAGCAGTCACAGTGTTTAAAAAGTTACTAACATTCCAAACTGAACGATTTGTCACTAAACACTAAATATCTTTAAAAAAAGTATTAATATTTTATAGAATGTGTCTATCTGTAAACAAGGGATATATTGGGTCTTTAATGAGGCCCATAAGTTAAAAGAAATGCTTTAAAAATTTGCTGCCATGAGCAAGAAAAGCCATAACATGTAAACAACTGCTGCAAAGTGTTCCCATCTGCTGCGAGCAGGCAGACCATAAACTACTCCCCACCACAAATATCCCTGAGGTTAATGGGGAGCTGAGCGCTTCGCCATGTGCGCAGTGCAGGACTGCCAAGCCCAGTTTGTTCTGACACATCCCTCAAACTGTACAAAAATACTAAATAACAAAAAGTACAATCCGATACAGTATATGCAGCTCTAACTACAGTTAGTGTTTCTGATGGTCTTACTTCTCTGGAGTGGATCTCCTGGGCGTAGAGGGGGAAAAGGAACTCTGACTCGCCATCTTCCAGCTTGACCCCTTCGGAGTGAACTTGGAGGAGTCCCATCCCTTCCTGCAACAACAGTCGTGATTTTAAATACAAACATTTAATGCAGAATTGCTTAAACTCATGGTGACACTTGGACAGAAATCTCTGGAGTGCATGTAGTGCAGGAGAATAGCTGTTTTAGGTTCTTTGTGTGTACGTGTGTGTGTGCGCACACACTTGTTTGTAGCATTGCCGTTTTAGCATAAATCCAGAGCTACCATCTGGACTTGAGACAGAAAGCTGACAAAATGTCATGAAAAAGAAGAGTCACTGCTCTGCCCAGTTGAAACAGCCAAGTACCAGCTAATAATAAATAACATGCTACAACTACTGCTAATATTAAGCTGAAGCACTTAGAGTGTAATAAAGGGATAATTCAGATTATTTAAARTGGGGGGCTTATTTAAAAGGTTTAGTATCTGATAGCTTTTTGAATGATCTCATTTTAGAGAAATTTGAGTTTAATTACAAGTTAATAGTCAAATCACTTGCTTACTGAATAATTGGTAATCAGTTGATAAACGAGATTTGCGTTCATTAAGTCCAAAATGTCTGGAAACATTTGATTAGTCAGCATTTACTGTTGTTTTCCTTAGTAAATATATATATTTTTGGACTTAATCTATGTCTGCATTTTTTCTGCTGTTTTAATCTTTCGTGTATCCAAACTTTCTACTCCATTTGGAATAGCTACTGGATGAGCTGATATTTTGTAACTTTTATAATTTTTCAACATTTTAAACTTTATTTTAAATAAAAGTCCCCATTAAAATRCATTTGATTTTAGCTACTTCTTCAATACTTCTAGCTTTTAGCTATTAGTTTGCAATGTTTTGTTTATAGCTACCATTTTTAATTTTTAGCCAATGTTCTGTTTTTATAGTTTGGTTCYCATGTTGCTACTTTTAATATTTAGCTACTGTAGAGGCCACCCCGAGTGAAATAAACACACAAAACTATCCTTGACCCAAGGCCCCTTTAAAAAGACAGAACTCTGTTCCATTTAGGCCCTAAAGGTCATCTTAGCCAGTAAAGAGACATTTTACTTTCCTTAATCAAGAAAATAAACAAACTAATAATGTTCTTTATATTTTTGATTAAGAAAAGTAAAATCACTACTGCAACCATTTTATTAATTGTATCTTTTAGCTACCTTTCTGGAAAAAATGTCATTTAGCTATCATTCTGCTTCTTTTAGATTTTAGCAACAGTTTTGCTACTTTTAGCATTTAGCTACAACTTTAGCCATGATTTTGAACGTTTCAGTTTTAGCTATTGTTTTACTACTTACTACCTTTTCACCACTACCAAGTCTAGGTTCAGCTTTAACAAACTGTACAGGAAATGCTACAGCAAACTGCTGCTGCTATTTGCTCCTGCAAATAACTGTAATGTGAAACAGGTTTTTACAACAGGTAAGTTATTGTTTTTTTCATAATCTTTTTACACATCCTCATTTCAGAGGAGCTGAACTATCCCTTTAAAGTGGTAGCTTTAAAWATTTGGAACAGAAGTTTCTGAACAACAAAACAGCAATGTCACCGAAGAGCAAATAGAGAGTGAGCTTGGCGCACCGAGTTGAACCACATCACCCGGAGGATCCAGATGGTGAGGGCGAAGTTGACCACCAGGATGACGATGAGCAGCAGCACAAACAGGTAGAGGCAGCGCTTCCTCCAGCCGTAGATGCCGATCTTGTAAACGTGGTCGGGCAGCGGCTGGGGCGAGCCGCTGCCCTGGGTGGTGGTGACATACTGCTCCTGTACCATCTGTTAGCTGAGCACAACACATGTTGACAGGTTCGCAGGCAGCAACGGAAACAGATGCTTTTTAGTTAGATTGGACGTGGCAAGCTGCAAAGTCAGGGTTTACTGAAAAGGTCAGAGAGACGAGGCCGTGCAAGGTAACATCATCCACCTGCATGTTAGAGTAAATGTAGATGATGAGTAGAAAGAAACTGAACGTGACACTGACAACATTTCATCATCATCAGTCCCTTWGCCAGCAAGCTCCACCTGAGTCCATCCTCATCAAGAGGGCTTGAGGACACAAATGTCATCTGCCCATTTTTACCAAATTATCAACAATTATCAAGCTACTCACACCGTGTGGGGGCATGAGCAGGGGCGGAGCCAGAGGAGGGGCTAAGGTGGCATTTGCCACCCCTGGAACCTGATTAGCCACCCCAGTTAATTGACAAATCACTGGATGTGGCTTTAAGAGATGCACAGAGTAAATGAGGACACATAATTTTATTATTTTAGCAAAAACACAAATACTTTTGTAAAATGTTGTACAGCTTTTTTTTTAGAGTCTTTTATACATTTCACTCAGATCTTCTGTATGATTGTTTTCTGAAGGTATTTCTAATTTGTGGGTCATGTTGTACAGAGAGCTTGTGCCTAAATRATTACTACAAAAACATTAGTGTTTGTGTGTCTTTGATTTTGTCACCTTGTAAGGACCACTTTTMCAATATACACCAACTTGTGAGGATGACCCACTGCTATTTTGGGGGACATAAACCCCGTTCCCATATGTTCAAATGGTGTTGATAGTTGATGGGTTAGGTTTAGGACTAAAAGGTGTGAATTTAGGGGTGATTAGGTTTAAGGTAAGCATCAGTGTTGGGTCATAGACATGACTGGAAAATCAATGGAAGTCACTGCAAAGAGAGAAAGAGACAGAAGCCTCATTCATAAGATGGCTCATTGTGTGTTCTATCCAGTGGTGGACAGTAACAAAGTACTTTTACTTTATTACTGTAATTAAGTAYACTTTTTGAGTATCTGTACTTTACTTGAGTAGTTATTTATTTGGGAACTTTTTACTTTTACTCCACTACATTTCAAAGACAAATATTGTACTTTTTACTCCACTACATTTCTAGGAAGCTTGTAGTTACTCGTTCCTTTTAGATCAGCATATTATAATCCGCTGTAAAAAAAAAAAAAAAAGAAAAGAAAAAAATCTGTTGTTCCGGTTTTTCTTTTCATGAAATGCAATTGGCCACAAGCTATGTTCGTCACAAAGGTAACCAATCACATGCGCAGCTTATAGCCTACGTCACACTCATTAACTCTCGGTAGCGGAGCGCGCGCTCCCATCACTTTACTTTCATTTCAAGCAGAACCAGACAAAAGAAGAAGATGCAATGGAAACCATTGAGGAAACGCAAGGAGAGAAACCAACACACCCATGGCCACATCTCAGTTCAATGTTCGAGGTTTTAGGACTTAAAAATAATACGTATCAGTTCAATTGTCTTCTCTGTTTACCACGGGTAAATTACCTTTCAGCATTCCATAACTCACCATCTAACCTGAGAAAGCACATTGAGGTAAGTCAGCAAACATTTTTCTCACTAGTTTAAACCCTTTAAATGAAGTTGACTTTAGTTAGAGTGGTTGTGGTTTAATGCTGTGAGAGATGATTGAAAAATAGTCTACCATTGTGTGCTAACTGCTAGCTTAGAGCCCCGTGCGGGTGCCCCTTGGGGCTCTGTGCTCGGGATCCCTCTCGGGCCCTTGGGCTCTGGTCTTCCCTATGTCTGCCTCGTGTCTTGGGGGTTGGGTCTCGGTCCTCCACAGTCACTATTAAATATTCCATTGGAGAAATCTTGTATATACACACATGTTCACAACTGCTCACAAACAGGTGTTCTGATCTGGGGGGTTCTGACTGGTCACTGAGTGTGTATATATGTCTATGTGTATATACTGACAATATTTATGAATGTAGGCATGTATGTATGTATATMTTTATATATGTATGGGTATGTGTATATTTTTATAAATGCCCTCCATGTATTTATCCACTTATTTTTCAGGTGAGCGGAAGATGTTGGGTGTGTGGTCCTGTGTTTTGTTGGTRTATATTTAATATACTTCTAATCGCTATTTCAGTCTTTCTATCTTTCTAATTACTTCTCTCTCTGTTTTTCTCTCTGTCTCCATTTTCTCTTCACTTAAAAAAAGTCACTGATGATGAAGAAATAAATAAAATAAATAAACTAATATTTAGTTTCGTTTTCTACTGAAGTGACAAAAAAAGAAAAGTAAAAAAGAGAATGTAATTTTTACTTTTACTTTGTACTTAAGTACTTTAAAATGCATGTACTTCTGAATACTTAAGTATTTTCAAAAGTAAGTACTTCAGTACTTTTACTTGAGTAGATTTTTGACTGAGTAACTTTTACTTGWAGTGGAGTAGATTTGACCATGARTATCAATACTTTTACTCAAGTACTAGAGTTGAGTACTTTGTCCACCACTGGTTCTATCCTCCTCTGAGCGTTCAGAAAAAACACAAAAACGGAAAGGCGAGTAAAATGAGCCCGCCTCTGATGCCCCTCTGAGCCCCTAGCGAGGTAGTATCAGAGCTGGGCTTGAGGCGGGCAGACCGACTTGTGAAAAAGCTGATGACATCAGTGAGCGACCACAGGATTAATCAACAAACGGATTTATTATCGAGGGAATATTAAAGATGACGTGAAACCACCACTTTGTGGTTACTTTTAAATATATTGAACCACAGGATCGCTAAAGTTTATTTTGTTTGTTTTGTTTGATACGAGGCAGACGTCGTCACACAATAAATACGTCGCAGTCCATTTCAGCCAAGCTGAGATCTGCTCCACGCCTCTTTGGGTTCCAGGCTGCTGGGCTCATTTCTGAATGCATACAGTACATGTGAGCGGGAACTGGCCGGCTTCTCCTGTGATTTTATGATTGAGCCTAGCAAACTTAAAGCRGGAACTGTCTTATGAAAGAGGCTAGAGAGAGAGACTGAAATAGCTAGATAAATGGCAAAATGAATATGGAATATGAAAGTTGTCAAGTATTGACAACTTAACTTGTTTCTTAGGTCCCATATTCAAGAAAAGGATAGTTTCCTTTATTTACATGTGCCCCCCTGACAAAGCCTTACCTTTGTGCCACCTCTTGCCTAAAAGCCTAGCTCCGCCCCGGGGCATTAAGGCATTAAGTTTTGTCTCAACAGTTAAATATGTCTTACCAAACCACCCACACATATAATACTGAACTATCTTTATTCCAAAACACGCATTCAAAACTCTAATTTCTACTACTTTCCTGGTAACTGAGCACATTTAACAAATTATGCTGGTTTTCCGACTTCTATAATGAACACACTTTAGTTGAGTGTGGCATCATTCCCAGATCTGACTCYTCAGACAAATGATTCCACCTTTTTTACCACTCCAGTCAGGACAACAAATGGTTCTTTCATACTGGGGCTGTTAAAGGGACATTTTAAACATAAAGTCAAAAAAGTGCTGCAGAAATAGATGAAAACTTTTCATTGCAAACTTTGGATGTTCACTTTTTGCATGTTCAAAGTGAGGCGTGTGTGTGCGCGCACGTGTGTGTGTGTGTGTGTGTGTGTGTGTGTGTGTGTGTGGGCACAGAGGAGCCAAAAAAGCCTCACAGAGCGAAGAGGAGCGTCACATTCTGTTCATACGTCTGGATTAAGAACCAAAAACCAGCTGCTGCCACCAAAACAGAAAAAGCCTGAAGAAAATTGCTGTCAGATTTGGAATTTTAATGAAACAAAACGGAAAAAAACAACCAGATATTCATTTTAACTTGTCACCTGTAAGCAAAAAGTGAGCAATAATGTTTTTGCTCGTATGTCTGTGTCATGGTCTGAGTTTATTTTGCTTTGTTTATCCTAGTGTCCTAAGTTATGCTACGTGAATGTAAGTGTTTTTGAGCTGCTTGTCAGCCTCTTTTTGTTATTAAAACCTGTTTTTGAGTACTTTGAGTGTCTGTGCCCTGGGTTACCTTTTTAAGTCTGGATCGTGTCAGTCTGTCTGTTAGCAAAATACCTCAGGAACCCCTTATTCTGATGAAACTTGCAAAAAAGTAATCACTGGATGTGCACAGTCAACCCATTCAAGATGGTCGCCACAGTCAGCTGATATTAAAGCATTCAAAACTGTCCATAATTCAATCAATTTTTATGGATATTCTCCTGAAATTTGGTATGGCAATACCTGAGAGTCATTCTCACCTCACATCCTGAGCGCTGACGGATTACATCTTGGTTGAAAATAATTCCATTAACTATTTCTGTCTGTTAGCAAAATATCCCATGAACCACTTGGTAGATGTAGAAACAAATGACTAAATAACCTTTGAAGCCAGTTCAGTTCAAGATGGCCGCCACAGTCAACTGACCTTAGGAAATAAAAATAGGTATAAATAATTCAGTTTTACAGACAATTGTGCTAAAATTTAGTATGGTTGTAACTATGAAACACATACTTTAATCATGTCCACAATCTTTGATAAAAGGATTCCAATAAATGTTGGCATCAACACTATGTCTATTAGCAAAATACCTTACTGAGTGGATTTTAATGAAACTTTCAGAAAGCAATCACACCTGCAACAAATTAACTTTCAGAATCAAGAAAGCTGCTACTACTAACATTAGCCAGCACAAAAATGGCTATAATTAAGTTAGTTTTTACAGATATTCAGCTAAAAAGTTGACGTGGTAGTAGCTGAGAGTCATTAACAACACATACTATGAGTGTGACATCCTGTGATCTTTCATTTATTTTGTTTTCAAGGTCCATGTGACTACAATGAGATTATTTTTAATTAAAACCCTGGCATGAAAGGTGGAGGGTAATATAGATTTCAAAATGCTATTTCTTTAATCCTTTTTTTTTTGTGTCGAAACACTACTTTTACCAGTTTCCATGCCCCATAAACAAAGATGTACCTCTTTTGTCTCAGCAGGGGGGGGTTTGTGAAGCTGACAGATTTACATACAGGACAGATGCTGGGTGTTACAGTCTCGGTAAAAAGCTGTTCTCCATCATGTTAAAGGAGACACTTCTCAAACCAAAGCGTAATTCTTCCTTGACACCGGCAGATGTGCCCGAGCTCATCGTCTCTCTGTGGGTCCCCTGGGCCGGCGATTTTACAGGAGGGAGCCGACAGAGTCGACAYGCAGGCGCAAAACTCTCTGAACAATCTGAGAACAAGTTTCTGTGGATAATAAGGGTCAGCTTGGTTTCCAACCGCTCACACAGGAGTGATGGATGAAAGCTGCTGCTGCTGCTGCTGCTGCTGGGCTCCCGGCTCGCTGAGGGCCACGAGGAGAAGGTTTCTTTCTGCTCCTGCAGAATGAAAACTGAGCATAAAAGGCCGAGGGTGCTTCAATGACCAAAATCTGCCTCTCCACAGGATCTGTCACATGGCCTACAAGCCCAGCGGTGATGAATAGCCCCTCTTTCACAACCAAACAAATGAATGTTGCCTGCAAATAGGAGGGGGGGAAATGACAACGATATCTCCGCATGAATGGAAAAATGGAGCTTGATAAGGAATAAGTTATGTGGAAATACTCAATTTTCTTCCCTATATCCCCCCTCATTCTTATTTATTAATCATATTTGTGTGGAGAAATTGGAAGTGCTCAGAGAAGCGGCCACCTTTTTTTTTTTTTTGCAACATGTCTAAACTGCTGAATCTGTAAACGTAGATTAATAGAGATTTATCCTGATCCTGGTTCTTTTTATTTTTTTCCTTTACATCTAACTACGCCTGCATACCTTGCACTATTTTAAGCTTTCAAATATAAAAAGATGTTGAGGGTCTGGAAGAACTTCAATGTGTCTTTGTGGATTTAGAAAAAAAAAAGCATATGACAGTGTGCTGAGGGAGGAGCTGTGGTGTTTGTTTGCTCTGGTGATGGACAGACTAACGGATGAAGTCAGGCAGCGATAATCATGAACGGGGAAAACTGCAGGTGGAAGAGAAAAAAAGGAGGYATGCAGAGATGAAGATGTTGAAGTTAAATAAGATAAGGAATGAGGTCGTCAGAGGTACAGAACAAGGTGGAACGACTGGGAGATAAAGCTAGAGAGACCAGACTGAGATGGTTTGGACATGTCCAGAGGAGGGACAGTGGGTATACTGGAAGGATGTTAGCTGCCAGGAAAGACTAGARGAGATATGAACACAGTTAGAGGACATGGAGGTAGTCGGAGTGACAGAGATGACTCGCTGATGAGAGAACAGCCGAAAGATGAAAAAGAAGRTTCTGTTTGTAGCTTAGAGCTAATGTCTTTGCTACATTCAGCTGGCATGTCGGTACTTTTAACATTTAGATAACTTTTTACTACTTTTAGTTGTCATGTCATCACTTTTTAGCTAGTTACTTATTGCTGACATCTTGTTAGTTAGAGCTAGCATTTAGCTACTTGTAGCAGTGTTTTGTTTTATTTTACATTTTAGCTAGCATTCTGCTTATTTTAGCTGTTTTTCTACTTCTAGCTAAAATTTTTGCTATTTTCTTAGCATTTTCCTCATTTTAGTTAGCTTTTATTTTAGCAAAAAATGTTACAATTACCTTTAATTAGCCTCTCTCTGGTTTCAGTTAGCACTTTGCTCCTTCTACCTTTTAATTAGCATGTTACTGATCTTATGTTTTAAGCTAGAGTTCTGCTAGTTTAGGCTCTTTAATTGCGAGGCAAAGYCCTCCACTGAGGCTGTTTAGTTCAGCTGATTCCAGTATCCCGACACTACGTCCATGTTCATCTTCTGATTGACACCAGCGAGTGAAAGAGCTCCTGCTTTGTTCATTATGTCGGTCATGAATTTGCTGTAACCAAGTCTAATGACTTTAAATGAACACATTAAGAGTCCTCTGCAAGAAATAAATAAATCAGGAGGAGGAGGAAGAAGCTTTGAGGCCAGATCCTTAAGTCCCCCATCAGCTCCTGTTTCAGTCTTTCCACTAGTCTTTCAGCCACAGACTGCTCCTTCCATAGCAACGTAAATAAACACTCCCAGAGCTGCTGCACTGCCCAAGAATCAGGGCCAGTTCATGTAATAAAGGGAGGTATTCTTTAGACCAGGTTAGTTTTAAACATGTATCTAGTTTTATTAGATTCCTCTGGTTGTTATCACCTGACGTTTAAAAGACAAAAGCAGATGATAATTTCTATCAGAAAAAAAACAACTCATGAATCGCTTGACAAATTTTAATAAGATTTGCATTAAGTAATTATTGGATGTTCATCTAACTGATTAACATTACGAGTCAATCCAGTTAAAGATGATAGATGAGTGCTAATCATTAGCCAACACATAAATAGCTCTACCACAAACAGATGTTAGGCTAAAATGTAACATGGTAGTAGCTGAGAGTCATTCATACACTGTGAGCGTGACTGTCTACACCAGTGGTTCACAAAGTTGGGGTCAGGACCCAAAGTGGGGTCCTGAAACATCAAGGTGGGGTCCTGAAAAGATTTTCTAAATTAATTAAATTTTTGCCTTAGTTGTTACCTAAAATGTATAAATGTAGAATAATAAATATTGTTACTATGCCTATGTTTAGTACCTGATACAAATGTTTATCATCCAAAAATAGTTGTGGGCACAGGTCTCTGCTACTGTTATTTTGTGGGTCAGAAGATAAAAAGTTTGGGAACCACTGGTCTAGAGATTAACCTTATTTTCAACTACAACTCTGTTATTTCTCAACGCAGGATCTTATTCTGAAACTCCAACAGTAAAGGCGGTGGATGACGTGCACTGTTTCAAGAACTGCTTGGGTTTTAGTTTAAAACAAACTCTACAGTCTTAAGAAACCGGTCCTGCCCACCAGAATGCCCCCCGTGTCTCTGTCTCTGATCGCTGAATGAGTTAAGACCAGACCTTTGACCTACAGGTCCAGGTTTTCAGTTGTTTCGGTCAAAGGTGTTTGCAGAGAGATCCTTGGGGAAGCTGTGAGCGCTTGGACTGAAGTTACTGTCTGTGTTTTGTTTTTTTTTGGCAAGTGTCCTGCTTCGTGTGTCCATGCCACTCTGATGCCTCCCAACTTCTAAAAATAGAAGCCAAGCGTTGTGAACTAAATTTAAAAAAGCACCACCAGAGGACACAAACAGACGCAGACTTTATCTCGATATAACTGCTGAACGATAAAATATAGCTCAGAACACAAAGATAAAACTTGTCTGTGCTGTTTGCTGAATAGTTATTTTTGTATTTTACTACTGCTGGCCATGTATGGTGAAACTGCTCACAGCTGGCTGACTATGAGCATACTTTCCAAACCTCAGGCAACCTCTCAGAGGAATGGAAAGCAATCGCAGCACAAGATATTTAAAAAAAAAACACAAAAAGCTCAAATAAACCTCGAACATGTTCGTTGGGTTAAAGGTCACCGATGTAAAAGCCCTAAACAGTCCCATCAGAGGAGGGTGTGGGAGACACAGATGATTAAGGAGAATATCTGATGAAAAACTCACCGTGGAGACACAGCAGTCCTCTTTCCAAAGCGGCAGCCGAAGCAGATCTGGAGCAGCTTGAAGAGGCTCGGGCTCCTCACACGTCTGTCAGCCGCTCAACAGCTGCGAGCCATAAATCCCAGAGCTGAAAACCCTGCTGACTGGTCTCCACGAGACGGCGCTCCCACTCCACAGCATGTCCACTCTCTGTCCTACAGATATTTAAATCTCATCATCAGTGGGAGAGAGAGAGAGAGGAGGTTCAGTCACAGACAGAGCAGTTTGTACTGGAGGGGAAAAAAGGCTGAGGCTTTATTTTTATGCACTCAGTCACTTTCCCAGCCCAACCCAGAGCTTGATGCAGCTGACTAATCTGAGCGTCTCCACATGACGGGGGGGCTTTCAGTTCAACTCTGCTGGCTGACGGGCAGCAGGAGGGGTGGACCTTTAGAGAGGGCAGAGGAGACACACAAAGACACTGTCTTACTGACATGGAAATTATCTGAGCTCCATTTTTCCTCTCCTGTAACCAAAAGGACATTTTTAATTTAATTTAAATCAAATACATCTGAATCATCAGCCTCTCAAACATTTTCACCATCAAGTCATGAAGTACTCGCACACGAATTGTTTGTCTCATGCTCTTGCTAAACTGACGCACTTGGGTTTAATACCACTTGGCGCAAGTCAAGTATGACAAGAAGTGAATTAAGTTCTAATTGACAATTATCTTTGGTGACAGGTCGCCCTGAAACTAAATGATAGCATTATGCAGTGAGGAGGTGCAGCAGAGATGTCAGCGTCTGAGGAGAAAAAAATACAAATAAAGAAGAATTCTGCAGATTTGGTATACAGATTTGATTGTAAAATCGGTAAAATGTTTCTAATTGTGACCCAACGATGCAGATGAGAGTCGGTGAAAAGTTGGAATAAAAAGCCACTCAGGGGCACAACTGGGGTGGGGAGCAGTTGGTGGTTGGGTTCAATAGATACCCAACAACCACCCAAGGTATTTAAATTTGGCAGAGCTAATTTTGAAAGGAACTGGACCCATATGCTGCTCTTCTATTGGGGTCACAGGCATCAATTCACTTTTTTGAAGGTTAACCTTATAACCAGATATGTTTCCAAACCTTTGAAGTAAAAGAAGTAACTCAGGAACACTAGACAAGGGATCTGAAATAAAAAGAAGAGTATCATCTGCATATAAGGAAACTTTGTGTTCAGTGCCAAACCGATTGATACCTTTAATCTTAGGGTTGTTCCATAAAGCCACTGCGAGTGCTTCAATCGCGAGTGCGAATAAGAGTGGTGAGAGTGGGCACCCCTGTCTCGTACCACGTACCAATTCAAAATAGCTGGATAGATTACTGTTAGTGCGTACTGCTGCCATTGGCAAGGTATACATCAGCTTCACCCATGAAACAAATTTAGGGCCAAAGTTAAACATCTCCGAGGTCTTAAAAAGATAGTTCCACTCCACCCGGTCAAACGCTTTCTCGGCGTCCAGCGAGATTATTTTACACTCTGTAGGTCTAAATATTAATCAGACATTTATATTATTTTACACTCTGTAGGTCT